TCCCTTTCTTTCTTTTTCTTCTCCTTTTCTCCCCCTGCTTCTTCTTCTCCTCCTCCCTACCTTTCTGAGCCGAGGGTCTATTGGAAACAACCTCTCTACCTTCACTAGGTAGGGATAAGGTCTGCGTATACACTTCCCCTCCCCGGACCCCACGTGTGGAATATAAGTGGTTGTTGATGAGCATAATTGAAACTATGATTTAGGGAAGTTCGTTTCGCTAAATTATGATGGTTGAAAGGATGATTTTAGGGAAGTTTGCTTTGCTGAATTATGATACAGGCGTTAGACCTTGGAAGAGGTGCGAATCCAGGAAGTTACATGGTTGAAGAGATATGGGAAGAGCTTGCAAAAGCAAAGTACTTGGAGTGGGAGCATGAATCTACAAGACGCTCCTGGGAACTTCAGAACTTGAAGTAATAGCTCTTGCTTATGTCACTTATAACTTTCCGTTACTTTATTTTTATACCATTACATAGGTCGTCTCCCCATTATTTTTCTTGTGTAATGTGCCTCAGAGAATCCTGTGAGTTAGCTCTCAAGGAGAAACATATGCTCGATAGTTCTCAGATAGAAGGGCTCGTAGATGAGAACTCAACGTCTCTTTTGAAGCAACTGGAAGCTGTAGGCAAAGTTTTCATGAAAGCTGCAGAAGATGATACTCCAACTGAGGTGAGCATTCAAGCATTACCATCTTAGTGATTTCTCCCTTTTGAAAGCAACTGCATTGTATTATCGTTTGACACCGAATATTTCCAGGTTCCTGATCACTTGTGCTGTAAAATCACTCTTGATATTTTTCGTGACCCTGTCATCACTCCCAGTGGGGTTACATATGAGCGGGCAGTGATCCTTGACCATTTGCAGAAGGTAAAATTTGTTTCTCATCACCTTAGGCATCTCAGATTCTCTTCCATTTATATTTTATCGATATTCCCGAGTGTGCCAATTTAGGTTGGAAAATTTGATCCAATCACACGAGAACCACTTTATACGTCCCAGTTGGTGCCAAATCTGGCCATAAAAGAAGCTGTACACGCATTTCTGGATAGGCATGGCTGGGCATACAGGATAGATTGAATTTTCATTGGTATGATCGATATCATCTGATGCATGTCAATGATGGTGCTAGTGAAACCAAGAACAGAGCCAGAGGGAAAGGAGGACACGGCTTTTTGTGGGAGTCATCTGGCTAACAGCTTCCAGTACTATTGAATATTAACATGGTTTCCCATGTTAATCACAGTTGTACAGTGTAGTGTTTTTTGTAATGGCTTGTTGGTCTTCATTAATTGTACAGCAAAAAATCACCAGCTTTTTGTGAGATGTTACAGCTAACACTATTGATCAAATGAAACAATAGTCTTTTGATATACAATGTCTGTTCCTGTGTGAAGGAATTGACAAGCTTGAACAAGCTTCTGACTTGATTTTCCAATATGTTCTCCATCACACCAACATAGACACAAAATGAGAGAGCTTAAAACTGCATTTTCCCCTAGGATATTGTCTGTTATTAACTACTAAACTTCAGCAATTGACCCACATTTCCCATTTAACCAAGCAGTCCTGTATCTCTCTCTCATTTTAATTCACACATCACAATCCATGCAACATTGAGCAGTCTGCTGGCTCCATTTACGAAGTATATGTAGATAGATATTAGGGGTGTCAAATTTAGTCCATGAAAACATAATCTGTCCAACCAATTCGGCCGGATTTGGGTGGCAGGTGTATGAATTGCAATTGTGTGGCATAGGGCACGATCACATAGAAGGATTTTGGGAGCTAGGGGTTTGTTCTTCATGAACGCGTTCTAAGAGCCACAATTACGTAGGTGTGCGTGTGGGTGTTCTTCGCGAACTTTTGAGGTACACGTCACGATTGCGTGCATTTTCTGCCCAGGGGTATATTATGTCCAGATTTTGAGATTTAACTCATTTTCACCATTTTTGAGTTTTGGACTTAAGGAACAGGCGGTTTTGAAAGGGGATTACGAGTATATATTCATTGGTGGGCCATTTTGCACATACTTATTGATAGTTTAATCGTTCTCTGAAAATCTAGTCTCGTAGATTTCTTTCTGGAAAAGGAGGGATTAACAATCCAAAGAACATGTCTTATAACACTTTTACTTTTGATTAAACAAAATAAGGGGCAAAAGGGCATAAAGTATCCCGCGTTCAAACAGGATCCGGGGAATGACCGCAGTGTGATATAGAAAAAAAGTAATTTTTGATCTATAAGCATATATAACTCATGCCACCAGAAAGCAGAAGAAAAACTTTTAAAAATGAAGCGCAACAAGGAGACAAATGACACTTTTATTCTACTTTTGCCACATGCAAGGAAATAGTCATATCACAAACCTTTTCCATTTATTAAATACCACCAACCAATAAATAAATAATATTTATATCTTCGAACAGAACCACCAGTACAGCGTATCAATCAACTTCACTTTTATTTGTCACATCTTGACTTTTCACGTCCCTTAAGAAATAATAAATGAAGTGCATAATTTATCATGATACACATATTAATTGATGCATATTTTATTGGATTTGAGAAAATGATTTGAGATGAGTAATAAATATTGTGGCTATAACATTATTTTTTTTTATCTTCTCTTAATATGCATAAAGCGTCTAATAAAAATAAAAATTGTTGTTTACTCAAATAGGAAAGTGCCACTTGTAAAAAAAACAAAACTTAAAGCGTCATAAAGTGACTGAATTTTGACCCTTTGTGTAACCCAATCCTCAAAAGAGAGGCTATCTATCTTTATTAAGGGCACTTTGAGCCTTTAGAAATACCCTAAACTCAAGCAGGAAGCCAACCAAAGAGCCAACTACTCCTCTTGAAAGGTCAAAAATAATTAAATAGATATCGGATTTCTTTTAAAAATACGTTAACCATTCGACTGCCTTTTCTTTTTCTTCCCTATCCCTATTTGGCATTTAAATATTTCCTCCAGCTCAGTCTTGTTAAATACTGTTATCCGCCACTTGTCCACTGGCTTCTCTATTTTTTATTTTTTTTTGATTCAGTGTTTAAATTTGTGACATCTTAGTCAAATCTCATGTAGACAAAAACAAAGAGAGATAATGAGTACATAAGTAAATAGACCCTAGATCGTAATGACATATTTTAAAGGATTAGTTACTCATACAGCAAAAGTTGATACCTTATTTATTTTAAATAAATATTCTTTTAAAAAATTATATTCCATTGCTACCTTTTGATTTTTATAGCCAACTATCTATTTATGGTTACCTCCTACCTTTAAGGCATAAAATATACTTTGTATTATTTTTCTCTCTCGTTCTTTCAGATTTTTCTCCACCCTCTCTCTCTCTCTCAACGCGTCTTTCTCCATGAATACAACCACGATTCTCCATTGTTTCATCTCCATTGTCTCGCGAAATTTTCATTGTCAGTGGGCTAAGCCTCTGAATCAATGTCGAAATCAAGCCCTAGAGAGAAAGATGGAGGTTCAAAATCTGCTATTGAAAGGTAAATTGAGGGAAATCTGAAAGGAAATCACGAAGATCCACCCCATTCTGATGGTCGTTGCTTAGTAGAAAATACCTTTTTCATCTTTTGTATTGACATCAAGCTTCAACTCTTCTACCAAGAACCCGCAAAACTCAGTCTGGCCTTCTCTAGCAGCAATAATCAATGCCCCTCTTTTGTTAGCATCCTTCACATCTGCCACCGTCCCGGCCAAGCCTTTCCCATTATCCAGTTGCTTTGCCAAATCTGTTTCCACAATCATCATTACCATATGAACAAAGACGACGGAGTTTGGAGATGAGCAACTTGAAGAGTCTGTTACCTTTTTTTCCATTGTATTTCAATGTATCTCGCTGTATTCTATGTATTTTATTGTATTCATTATTGTTTTTCCATTGTATTTCAATGTATCCCGCTGTATTCCATGTGTTTCATTGTATTCACTGTCTCGCTATATTCCATGAATGTATTCATATATTATTTTTAATTAATATAATTTATGTATTTAGATGTATATATGTATTCAAATATTCTAGGGTGTTTTTCGGTTGAGAATCTTTTTTATAACTGGAAATACAAATTTTGTGTGTTATAATTGAGTTTGTTGAGTTATATTAGGAGTCTATTATGTTAATTGATTCACTTTCCGTTTAAAAACAGATGAATAGACCATGAATTGCGCTATTTACGTTACTGTATTCACAAATACATATCTTGTATACAGTCGAATACAATAATCTATCTAGCTGTAATCCCTTATTTCACGCCGTAAATACAGTCGAATACAAAAATCTGTCTAGCTGTAATCCCCTGTTTCACGCCTAGAAATGCTACTGTATTCACGAATACAATAGTTTAAATACATCGAATACACTCTAAAAACCCTGAAAACATAGCTATAGGAAGTAATATAGTAAATGATAGCTACAACTAGCTAATAGCCACTAAAACATAGTGGTTTCTGAAAGTTTCTCTATTTTAAAACCGTACGGGCTTAGGCCCAAGACGAAGTGGACTTGGCTGTTACATATGGTATCAAAGCCACTTTGCGTGCAACCTTGAACGAAGGGACATATGCGAATTTCACATCAAGAAAATACGGGACATATGCTGGGTATATAAGTAAATATACCTTAAATACGGTTCCGTTTTAAAACCTTGTGGGCTTAGTTATAAAGCGAACAATTTCACTAGTAAACTGAGCTGTTACAAACTTGCTGACCAGATTAATTCAGATTTTTCAGGTTAAAGTTGGAAGAACCTAGGTTGCCATATAAATATGAAATAATTTGAGCTTCCAATCCAAAGCCTTAAAGTAAATCGGAGAAATTGGAAAGAAATATTTTTTGAATTTTGCTTGTATTTTTTCAACAACATCCTTATATTTTTCTTTCTTCTTAAATTCAAATAGTAGAAAAGAAATTTCATCTATATATACTAAAGCCATAGTAATAGCAGGGTAATATGCTTCAGAAAACTCAACAGTAGTTGTATAAAATTTATGTAAAAATTTAACAACATCATTAATGGCCTCCCAAGTAGTAGTTGTTAACATACGGTTTGGATCAATATAATGCGCATTAGCAACTTCAGTTATTGAGAATCTATATTTGTAGCAACATTTTAAAAATATATATGTATAATTTCATCTAGTAACAATTTCGTCTAGCATGAATCTGGGCTTAAGGTTATGCTCGTTACACTTATTAATAAATTCCCTAATTCTAGATTGTCTATTATTTCCTTGAATAACACTGACTGCTCTTCTAACATGAGTAATCTCAGCTGAAAATAAATCAAGGTCACTTTTAACAATTAAATTATAAACATGACATGCACACCTAACATGAAAAATTTCGTCAAGTGGTGGTTGCAAATGCATTTTTAATATTGAAATTGAGGCATTGTTGTTAGAAGCATTATCAAAAGACATACACAATACTTTTTGCTTGAGGTATAATTCAACAACTTCGCAAATAGTAGTACTTATAAACACAACAGTATGACTCTGATCTTCATCATATTTAAAAGCGATAATGCGTTTTTGTCACGACCCCAACCCCGAACCCGGTCGTGATGACGCCTCTCGTGAAGACAAAGCCAGATCAAAACAGAACACCTCTTTTAAAAAGTTAAATACCATAAATAGTTCTAAAACATGATATAATAACCATAATTTGCGGAATTTAAGATAACAACATTAGAAACCATCCCGACACAGCCCAAACTGGGGTGTCACAAGTCATGAGCAATTAAGGATCCTGATACGAGTCTACTAGATATAATATCTGGTACAACTGTTTGAAGAATATAAAAGTAATAAGATAAGGGAGGCACGAGGGTTGCGGATGCCAACAACTACCTCGTAGTCTCCGAAAACACTGCCTGGACTAGGAGGATCAGCTCTCAAGAGCAGACTCTGCGATGCCAGAATCTACACACACGGTGCAGGGAGTAATGTGAGTACTCCGACCCAGTGAGTAATAAATATAAATAATAGTTGAAGGCAAGAAAATACGTAAAGGCACGAAACAATTCTATATCAAGCAGTAAAATCACTTAAAGCAGTAAATCAGTGAGGAAGTCAAATGAAATTCCTTTAAACCAAGTAAAATAGGAAATTTAGCAGGTAAATAACAAGTAGAAATACGCCCCTTGGGCATAGTAACAATCGCTCAGAACAGTATCAGCCCCTCGGGCTCACTCTCAGATCATGATGGGTACCCGCGCTCACTGTGGGTGTGAAAACTCCGGAGGGGCCCCTTACGGCCCAAGCGCTATATCAAGCCACCTCGTGGCATCATCTCTCGGTACTCGGCCTCACATCACTCGGCACTCGGCCTCACATCACTCAAGCCACCTCGTGGCGTATAAAAGTGTCTCAGGCCTTCGACTTCATAT